AGAGAGCAGTTATACTGGGAGCTGAGCCAGCTGACCAAGAGCATCACTGAGCTGGGCCCCTACACCCTGGGCAGGAACAGTCTCTATGTCAATGGTGAGTCCCTTTGGTGTGGCTGGAGTCTCTTCCTCCTTGCTGAGAAGCATCTACTCTCTGCCTTAAGGTCACACTCCCTGCCTGGCTATTGAATACTCAGCCATGTTGTCTGTATGTGATTCCAACCATGAAGGTTGGAACTTCATGGTTTCTTTTTCATCTTGGACTGAGTTCATCCTCAGGATCCACTTTCTAGATCTGAGGGTGCTGATAAAAAATCTTCAATGACTCGTGTTCTAGGAAATTCCTTCCATGGCACCAGAGTACTCTGACCCCTATATAGTTTCCCACTACTCCCTTAATCCTTACCCACTCTCCTCCCTCCCTTTCTACACAGGCTTCACACAGCAGAGATCCGTGCCCAGCACCAGCAGTGAGTATTCCACTGATGTTCCAGTGCTCCTGTTCCTACACCATGCAGGGCAAGAGCTGACCCCTTCTCACCTGCCCCTATGTCCTCTATGAGCACAGGAGCTGGGACAGCACAAGTTACTCTCTTTCCCTTCTGGCCCAAGTCTCTTCAGAGAGAGACCCCGCTCAAGCCCCACATGCAGCAAGGTCCATACATACTCTGATCTGCTGGCATTTCTGCCATGGGAGTATTTGATGCTTTCACTAATGAGGTCCTCTCCTCAGCTCCTGGGACCTCCTCAGTGGACCTGGGAACATCTGAGACTCCAGCTTCTCAATCTGGCCCCTCGGGTAAGTACAAATCAGTCGCATCTCTGTTAGAGCATGCTTGATGAGTGTCAACATCTCAGCCATTTTTGCTTAAATAAAGATTTAAAAATCCTAGCGACTCTACTGATGAGGAGTCATCTAACAAACTTAATTGAGTGCCTAGTTTCTGCAGGGCTCTAGGGATAACGCAGGGAACACAAAAGAGATAAAAAATCTCGCTGCAAGAAAGCTTATTTTATTGTGAGGGTGATGGGGGTTGTTGGTGATGAGATTACTGGAGATGATGACAATATGCTAGTGATGATGATGGTGATAAGGATGATAATTATGAAGATGGTGATGGGGATGATGATGATGGAGGGGATGATGCTGTTGGAGGGGATGATGATGATGGAGAGGATGATGATGATGGAGGGGATGATGATGATGGAGGGGATGATGATGATGGAGGGGATGATGCTGTTGGAGGGGATGATGCTGTTGGAGGGGATGATGATGATGGAGGGGATGATGATGTTGGAGGGGATGATGATGTTGGAGGGGATGATGATGATGGAGGGGATGATGATGATGGAGGGGATGATGATGTTGGAGGGGATGATGATGATGGAGGGGATGATGATGTTGGAGGGGATGATGATGATGGAGGGGATGATGATGTTTGGAGGGGATGATGATGATGGAGGGGTTGATGATGTTGGAGGGGTTGATGATGTTGGAGGGGATGATGATGATGGAGGGGATGATGATGTTGGAGGGGATGATGATGTTGGAAGGGATGATGATGATGGAGGGGTCATTATGACCGTGGTTTTTTTGGTCATAATTTTGGTGTTGATGTGGGTGGTGCTGATGCTGGTGGTGATGACAATAATAATAGTGAGGGTCACAGTGTTCATGATATTGATGATGACAATGGTGATAACAAAGGTAATGTTTAGTGTTACAGAACTCCGTATATGCACCAAAAGCTGTGCCAAATACTACTATTATTTAGTAGGCTCTATTAGAAACTTCTATCATTGTAGTTAAGGGACACATGGAAACTTTTTATTTTACTCTCTCTTTAAATCCTGTTGCATATGTCTAAAAATATTCCTTTTGGAAACATATAATGTTCTCTACTTTTGAACACATTGTTTCTTTACCACCTCCACTACAGCTGCCAGCCCTCTCCTGGTGCCATTCACTCTCAACTTCACCATCACCAACCTGCGGTATGAGGAGAACATGCAGCCCCCTGGCTCCAGGAAGTTCAACACCACGGAGAGGGTCCTTCGGGGCCTGGTAAGAGCCCCGCCTGTCTCTCTCTCCCCCGTTCACCTTGTCTGGTCCCACCTATCTCACTCATAACAGGGCATAAAACAAGATCTCACCCACCTCCTCTCAAACCCAGAGACATGAGCCTTCATCCACTGATGCCAGGCCCACCTACTGGTGCTAGCCCAATTATTACTACCCTGCCATTACCTCCTCAGCCATCCTACTCACCTCCCTCTCCTTCCCCTCTCCCCCACAGCTCAGGCCCCTGTTCAAGAGCACCAGTGTTGGCACTCTGTACTTCGGCTGCAGACTGACCTTGCTCAGGTGAGACTTCAGAATAGCCAGCCTGGCTGCCCCAATTGTTCCCAGTCTCCATGAGTTTGGCCTTTTTTTTCCTGCCCTGTCTGTGGTTATTCTTATCAAAGATGGAACTCAAGAGACAGTGGTTCCAAGACTAACCTTTCTCCCAGTATTACCGCTGCCCCCTGCCACCCACCCAAATCAATTGAGAAATTCCTCAGGGTCCATCAGCAGGATTGGACTTCCACCTTGGCCATCCCTCTGAATTCCCTCTTTTCTCCCCACCTCCCTTGCCTTTAGGTGTTAAATCTGCTAACTAGGATTTCTCTCAAGACAAACATGCCTCATTCATTTAATTCCCAATTCCAGCTCTTCACCTGTCTCAAGTCTAAGCTCTCCTGTCCCCATGCCATGAGAATGCAAGAGCCATACTGCATTGTTAGAAAAATTCTTGTATCCGCAACTATGCTCACCATCCCAAGCTGGACAGTAGTCAGTGCACTCAGAGAGTCTAAGTGTGGCTTCTCATCTGTGTATCAGGCCTCTCATTTCCTCTGGCCCCTTCCTGTCTTTCACCCAGCAATCTTGGGAGTCCTCCTTTATTGTTATTCCCCTCACCTGCCTTCTCCAGGCCTGAGAAGGATGGGGAAGCCACTGGAGTGGATGCCATCTGCACCCACC